TGAGCATTACTTTTGTGTGTCATGTTGGTGTTCAAAAAGTTTTGGATTTGGGGGTTTGGATTAGGGATGCTCAATTTATAGTTCTATTTTTAATTTTCTGAGGAACCTCCATACTGTTTTCCATAATGGCTGTAATAGTTTATATTCCCACTAACAGTGTGTAAGGGTTCACTTTCCTCTGTGTCCTCACCAGCACTTGTTATATTTTGTCCTTTTGATAACAGCCATTCTGTGATTTGCATGTCCCTGATTGTTAGTGATGTCAAACATCAGTGTGTCTTCTTTTGAGAAATGTCTTTTCAGGTCCTTTGCCCATTTTTTAATTGGATTATTATTATTATTTATTATTTTTGTCTGTTGAATTGAGTTCCTTGTGTATTTTGGATATTAATCTATTGTCAGATGTGTAGTTTGCAAATATTTTCTTCTAATCTGTAGGTTGTCTCTTCACTCTGTTGATTGTTTCCTTTGCTTTTTAGTTTTTTAGTCTAATTTTTTTGTTGCCTGTTCTTTTGACGTCTTATCCAAAAAATCCTTGCCTAGACCATTGTTATGAAACATTTCCCTGCTTTTTAAAATTTTTTTTCTTTCTTTCATCTTTTTAAAAAAATTTTATTTTCTTTTATTAGTTTCATTCAAAGCCTTTTTTAAAAAAATCAACTTTTTTGTGGTCTAACATACATATTAAAATTCACCTGTTTTAAGTGTTTAGTGCGATGATGGGTTTTGCCGAAGGTGTACAGTCACCACACTACAGAGCATTCTGAAAACCCAAGTCTGAAAACCTTTTAGTGTGACCCCATGTCATGGTGCAAAGAGGGCTTGCTCTTGGGTGTGCAGCCCTGCCCAGAGGGAGGGTCACAGAGGCAGGATGGGCTCCTTGTTGGAGGAAGGGATAGGGAAAGGCAAGGCACTCCCCCAGTGGTGCAGGAGCTGAGTTGAGTCTGGAGTGAAGAGGGGTGCACGGGGTGAGGTGAATAAGGGAAAGGCCGTGGAAGCTGCATTTGCTGCATATTTTTTCCTTCCCGGGATTTCTAGCAGCTCAGCAGTACCGGAATGAACCAGTTTTTTCTGACCGCCTCCAGCACAAGCTGAATTTTTGTCTGTGCATTTATTTGTCCTCAGCCAATTGAAAATCACCTGGAATTTTATTCCCAGCACAAAAGAAGGTCAGAGAGAGGAGGCCCGATGATCGCGATCACCCACCAGCCTTTTCTCCAGGAAAAGAGTTGGAAGGAGGCCTGCAGCCTTTGTGCTTTCAGGGCCAGATGGCCGCCCTTGACCTAGACCTCGACCCCAGGCCCCTGAGCTTCAGGGGGTGGAAATTCCTTTCATTTTATTGTTGAGCCCAGAGGTTACAGATTGTCATTTTTCTGGCACTTCTTGGCAAGGGTAGGCCAGGGTGAGAGACGTTCAGCACTGTTATTAGACTGGCCAGAACTCTTTATGTAAGGGTTGCTCTGCTGTTTCTCACTTGGCCTGGTGACTGCTGTGTGTAAATTCTGCATGAGCCCAAGCCTCTCCCAGCAGAGTGCGGGATTCCAGGTGCTTGCCCCGAGTGAGTTAGAAAAGCTGGCCCCATGGATGGTATCAGTAAAAGTTAGCTACTCCTACTGCTGCTGCTACTCCTGTCCTCACTATTTTACTGGTTTTTATTGTTATTCAAAGCAAACTTTACTGAAGAGAGGTAAAGTCGTGAATTTTGCTGTGACTTTTGGCTCTGGATCCATAAGCAGCTGTTGGCCCCCAGGATAAAGAGTCAGTCTGTATGGCTGGGGAGGACCCTTGATCAAAGGTCTTGCTCTTGGGCGCCTTTGCCCTGTGTTTCTGAATAATTTTTAGTGGGTTCTGTGAGGTAAAAGAAAGACAATATATTTTAAGGGTTTAAGAAAATTTAGGTTGTGCTGCTCCCCAGTGGCTACTTGGTTTCAGGGTCATGTCCTACCCTTGAGCCTTGTTTCTGCCTCAGGGGCATGAGTGTCCAGAGCTGGCCTGGGTAGGGACACATGGTGAGCATGGGGACGCTAGTGCTGGAGCAAATTTGAGGTAAAGAAGAACCTTGATTAGGTTTTATGTGGTGGGATTAGGTTTTATGTGGTGGGATGTGGCTGGGATGACTCCTGCCCAGTTTGCTGTGGTATTAGAGGGGCTTCTCCTTTTAGGCCAGGCCCTTAGTTACTGGAGACTTGGGCGGAGGCCAGGGAGAGCTTGCAAGAGACCCATCCAGCAGCTCCTCAGGCCCTGTGTGTTTGAGGATGGACTGCGAAGGCATGCAGTCCCTGGTCATCTCTGCTTCCAGAACCTGGATGCATGGCCAGGGCTTGTGGTCCTCCGTCAGACCCTCTTCCAGAACCAGGATGGACAGCCAAGGTGTGCAGTCCCAGGTCATCTCTGCTTCCAGAGCCAGGATGGACAACCAAGGCATGCAGTCCCTGGTCATCTCCACTTCCAGAGCCAGGATGGACAACCAAGGCATGCAGTCCCTGGTCATCTCCGCTTCCAGAACCAGGATGGACAGTCAAAGTGTGCGTTCCCATTCATATTTGCTTCCAGAACCAGGATGGGTGGCCAAGGAGTGTGGTCCTCGATCATCTCTGCTTCCAGAGTCAGGATGCATGGCCAGGATGTGTGCTGCTCCGTCATCTCCTCTTCTAGAACCAGGATGGATGGCTAAGGCGTGCACTCCTCCTTCATCTCTGCTCCAGAATGTAGGGAGCTGTCTCAGGCCTGCTGGGAAAGCTCCATGAAAGTCAGAAAGATGTGGGGGTGACCTTGCACAGAATCTGTCAGGGGCTGAATGGGGGCAGCCTTACCTTGCCCTAGGGAGTTGATGGTAAGGTAGCCTCTATTTTCTCTCACAAGAGTAAGTCGGGTTTTTTTCTCTGGTGAAAATACTGCCTTTTCCCACATTAGAGGAAGACTCAAAATGAGTTTTGGTGGAAACCATTTTGATGGAAGAAGGTTGTGAGAATGGTCTGGGGGATTCCCAATCCTGGATTTCTGCGGCATACTGACGGTACCTGTTGAAAACAAAAGTTTGCAGACTTTTTCTTCGTGTCCCTGATTGTCAGGCTACATTGGTGTAAGGTGCTTCTGCAGTAGGTTTTGTGGGAGGTGCCAGAAGAGAGCCCCAAATCTTTCTCCCACCATCAGCTGATACACTGGAAATTAACCAGAAAGGTAAAAATAGTAAAACTTTGAATAGCTTGATTAGTTAAAACATTGAGGTCATTGAGGTATAATTCATATAACATAAACGTCACCATTTTAGAGCATACAGTTCAGTGGATTTTAGTATATTCACAGTGCTATACAGTCAGACCCACAGTGGTTTGATTTTTAAAAATGATTTTTTCTAAATATGAAAGGAATATGTTCTTATTGTAGAATATTTTAAACATTCCACAAAACTCCCCTCAAAAATGGTTTCTAGTGAGAGGCCAGACTCTGCCCTCTGTGAAGCGGAGGGTCTGAGCCTGCTCGTTATCTTAGGGAGCTCTTTGGTGGCTGGCTGCAGCCTACAGAGATGCTTTTGGTAGGGGTATGTCTGAGTTAGGTATTTCTGTGCCCTAGACAGCATTATAAAAGCCTGTCTGAAAAAGCCAGAGACCTCAGGGACTAATGTCCTGGTTTCTGTAGCCATCCCTACCTCTCCCATCCCCAGACTCATACAGACCCAGTCGATATCTGCCCAAGTCCAGACAAGGAACATATCTGGGCAGCACCTTGGTAGAATTTACTAGGAAGATGAACAGAAAAATCTAGTAAAGTTTCTTGTCTCTGAATTTTTCAAGACAGTCTAATCAGTTTATTAATGAAAGAATTTTAGAAGCTGGAAAATACATTGCAGAGAAAAAAGACAAGATTTTCATCTTTCTAAACTGGTTTTTAATGGGGTTTTTTGTTTGTTTTTTGCAATGGAATTTTATAAAATCTTAGTATCTCTGATCTCAAATATTGGGAAAACCTTATGTCTTTGTATGAGATGAATAAACTATTATAGTTCACAGTGTCTGTGCAAATTGTAAATCAAATCATTCGAACACGAAATAACCAAAAATATTAAGAATATTAGTAAATTAGTTAGTCCATAGTAGCACAAAGAATATTCAAACTGATAATAACAAGTACTTCATAAAAGTCAGGTGTTATCTGCTTGCCTATGTGCTAATGCCTTTAAGTACACTAGGTAGTCTACAGCATACTTATGAAGAATATACATTTCTGTACTTAGATGAGAAAACTGAGCACAGAAAGTGAGGTAACTCACCAAGATCACAGAGCTCAGATTTGAATTTGGATCTTTGACCCCACACTCAGCTCTTAGCCCCTGAGAGCCCCTCCTGAAGTAGAGACAAGATTATGGGGTTAAGGTATGTTTCTAGGGGAGAAGAAGGATGTAAGCAAGATTGTCCTGGGCCCCCTGAAGGCTGTACTGAGCCTCTGGGGTCTTGAGGGAGATGCTAAATCCCCTCAGTGTCCCTTGGGTGCTCCTATGTGAGTATCTGGCATCCCTGCAGAAGAACTGGTGGGGTTTGCAGACCTATAGACAGAGGGCCAGGAGCATTACCTCCCAGGTGCTTGGGCCTGGGAAAACAATGGGACAAGAAATGTCTCTGTTGACCAGCTTCCTGAGCTCACATCTGTTCTGAGGTCCCAGCATCTGGCCCACAGGGGCTGTCAGCATGTGTCCGTGGAGAGTTTGGCTTTGGGCCTTTGGGATGTGTGTGCCAATGGGAGGCAGCCACAGGGCATCAGTGTTACAGGTGTGGGGGTCAGAAGGCGCATCCTGAGGCAAAAGTGAAAGGGGCCAGAACTCTGAGAGAAACCCACTGTGTGGGGTAAGACAGGGACCCGGGCTGGCCAGAGCGGGGAAGCGGCTCAGCCAGCCTGGGGTAGACGTGGCTCGCCTGTGGATGGAGATGAGCTTTCTGTGGCTACAGATGCGTCCTGGACTCCAGGCAGTGAGGTAATCAATCCTGTGCCTTTTTTGTCTTTAGTCGTGGGACATTTTTTTTCGCAACACCAATGCTGGAGCCCCCCCGGGCAGTGCCTACCAGAGCCCCCTTCCCCTGAGCCGAGGCTCCCTAGCCACCGTGGCCCACACACAGTCCCTGGTGGAGGTGCAGCCCAACGTCGACAAGCTCGTGGAGGACCACCTGGCGGTGCAGTCTCTCATCAGGGCGTACCAGGTAAGCGGGGCACTGGCCATCACTCAGAGAAGGTCAGGTGTTCCCTGGGCCGTGCCTTATACGGCATCATCTGCCTTTCCACATGGATATTGTCATTAGCATTTGGAAGAGGTAGAAAAAATTAAGTGCTTTCTCCCCGCTCTGGGGCCTTAAGGAGGCAAAATCAAATATACAATAGAATAGGAGCCAAGCTAACCCTGTTCGAACAAATCCTCTGCCACTTTTAATGCCTGCCCTATAAATAGCTCCTTGTTTCTTTTCATGAGTTGGCAAGAAAGATTTGTGGGCAGGAAAACCAGTGCTGCCCACCCGTAGTGAGCAGTGGCCAGAGTGGTGGTGGTGTTGGGTGGTGGATGCCCCCTTTAGTTGCTAACAGCTGAATACTGTGAACAAAAATGAACATGTAGAGTTTGGGGACAGGCAGATGAGGAGGCAGCTGAACCTGCGGAGGGTAGGTGACGGGCAGGGGAAGTCCCTCCAAAAGCATACCAGTTAGGCACCAGCCTCCCTGGACGAGTGTCAAGCAGATCGGGATTTTTTTCTGCCTGTCCTTTCTCAGTACAGTAACCAAGGCCTTTCCAGGGTGGGTGTCCACCTATGTGTGGGGAGAGCCCAGGCTTCAGACCTTAAGATTGATCTGTAGTGGTTGCAAGGAGGACAGGTGGAAAAAGGCAAGCCTGGGGCAGCCCTTCTGCAGGCCCTTGCTGGCTGCTCTTGCATAGCTACAGTGGTGGCAGCAAGGGCACGAATGCCCCTGAGCTCCCCTTTCTCTCCCATGCTTGTTTCCTGGAGATGGTGGTACAGACAGGGCCAGTGACGCAGGTGTCGTCCCAGGGCAGCACAGGGAGGGTCCTGGGCCTCTGGTCCTTCACGCCTGGTCTGGCATGGAAGACCCTCTCTTGGGGCAAGTGCAAGTAGCCCTGTATTCTGAAGTGCTATCCATGGTGGACATTACTGTAGGTGAGAAGCACAGTTGGTGTTTCTTGATTGTTGCCTGCATGCCTTTGACCTCATCAACTTTAACTTGATCTTTCAGTGACTTAGCAGCAGCTCCTCCTGTTCTCCAATTGCTAGCAAAAAATTGTGAATAAAATATCCCAAACTGAAAGAAACTAAAAATCAAAAGAGATTTTTTTCCTCTTTTTTTTTTTTGGTGGCTGGCCAGTATGGGGATCCCAACCCTCGACCTTGGTGTTGTAATACCAAGCTCTAACCAGCTGAGCTATCTGGCTAACCCTCCTTTTGTTTTCCAAGCAGTTTGGATCAGGAGCTTTAAGTCCGAGTTATAACAGAGTTTTTTGTTCTCACTACTGTGTGCTGACCCACTCAGTAGCACTAGGCACAGAGCCTCACAGGCACCCTTCTCTTAGTAAAACACCTCATCTGCACCCCTCCCCGCCAAGGCCAGTGCCTCACGGTAATGTTTACGTTCTGTGCTGCAGTAGGCTTCACACTGGAGTAAGAATTCCCTGGCATTTCTCATTTCCGTTTATCAAGGGAAATTGTGTAAAGATCCTGGGAAATGGATCCTTTCAGACGGCCCAAGTTTATCATAACCTGAGGCATTTATTCCTTTTTTTTTTTATAAAAGTGTATTTATGTATACTAATGCTTTTCAAATAAACTATTGCACAACTTTTTAAACCTAATTTTGTGGTATGAGCTCATCGGTGCTGTGTTCCTCTCTGGGAATGGTTTGCATGAAGTATAACTCTTTTATCCCTCCCCACAGTTCGCTGGACCTGCTTAATGACTTGCTTGTGTTATTGCTTCCAGGTCAGGGGTCACCACATTGCAAAACTTGATCCTCTCGGAATTAGTTGTGTAAATTTTGATGATGCTCCAGTAACTGTTTCTTCAAACGTGGGTGAGAATTAATCTGTAAATGCTAATTTTAATGTAATTTTACTTTTTTTTTTTACCCTTCCCTCTTTTTTTTCTCCTGTCCTTTTGTGTGTGTCCTTCCCTCTCATCGCTGGCCCACTCGTAGATACGAGGGCACCATGTAGCACAGCTGGACCCCCTGGGGATTTTGGATGCTGATCTGGACTCCTCCGTGCCCGCTGACATTATCTCATCCACAGACAAACTTGGTGAGGGTCCAAGAACAGTCAGCTGCGTTGCTTGAGCCCCTCTCTCTGTGCCGCAGCCTGTGGTAGCCAGGACATCCAGGCAGGAGGGAAAGGCTCTTAAGTTTCCTTCGCTCTGATCACTTGAAATTTATCAGTAATAAAACCTTAGTGTGTTTTGGACAAGTGATGTTTATCCCACTTTTTCAGCCAGAGTGTCTAAGTCTCCAAATTGGAAAATAAAATTTTGAACAGAAAGGTTTGTGACACAAGGAAACAGCTGTTCTTACTGGGGCAGGTGGTTCAGAAGCTGCTTCAGAGAACAGCTCTGTTGGCTTCAGCTTTCCAAGTCTGCGTCCAGCGCTGCCTTTGTCGAGGCACGTCATGAGGCTTGTCACGAGACCTGTGCAGGAGCTGCTGTCACAGCTGTTCTGAAGCACTCTGTGTTCTGCTTACCTTTGACTGGAGGCCAAAGTTCATGTCCCTTAAGGGGCAAATTCCAGAGCAAGTTGTGCAGTTTGGGTCTCCCGATTCATAACTCAGGTGATCACACTGAGGAAACTTTGGAAGGCGTTCCCACAGTGTCAGGAGGCCAGGGCCTCGGGAGGGGTATGTGTGGAATACAGTTGGGTTCTTGTCAAGGTCTCCAGTAGACATTCCCCCCTGCACCCCTCCTCCTCCTGAGGTGAAATGGGTGTTGCAGTTGGGCCGTCACCTGCAGTTGCTTCGAGTTAATCTGCTTACGTCACTTTGCTGCTAACCTGCCCTAAAGAAATGATAATGTGACTAATTTTGAAATGGCCAGGATGTTCACAACAGACACTGTGCATGCTAATGAAATTGATCATCACCCACCTGCCTAATACTGCTCTTGGGAAGGGGACGAAATTAGCCTCCTCGAAGGCACATTGGGAAGAGTACAGAAAAACAGTCTCTCTAAGGCTCTGCAGTGTCTGGGGGCTCTTGTAGGCATTACTGAGTTAGGACAAGGGGGTCAGATACTAATCATGTAAAATCAGACATCAAAGATGACTCTGGATTGGTGTCGATGGTTTGTAATTACTCTTTTGTCTTGATTTCAAAAACATTCCTAGATAATATAGGGTTTGCTCTACTTCATATCAATCCTTTAGCAGATTTAGGAAGGAAGTTTAGAGAAACCCTTTTGAATCTTATTGAATAGGGCCAGTCTGGATTATAGATTGGGTGTGAATTGAACCCTGCTCCTTTATTCAATGGTGACAATTTCATGCTCCCAAGAAGTGGGCCTCTCTTTGCAGTGTCCCCAGGACGTTGCAGAGCCTCTTTCCTGCTCCTCACCCCTTAGCAGAGACACCCTCTGCCCTGCACCCCCCAGTCCTGTCACAGCCTGTCAGCCTTGAGCCTCTCTAGCCCCCTGTGCTCACTGCCTCTGGAGACTTCCAGACCTGCAGGGTCCCCTCCAGGAGCTCAGGACAAGGTGAGCCCCCCCACCCCCACCCCGCTGCTGGACTCAGTGTTCCCTGATGAAATAGCACAGGGACCTGCCCGGAGCCACCTCAGGGAGGAGCACCTCCTGCTGTAGTCAGTCAGGGTAGGGGACCATGGAATGCTGGTTTTCCACACATGGCAAAACACTGGGACAGGAGAGGAGCAAGTGAGGTGACCAGCTCACCTTCTGCTGCCTGAACCTGTGTGGTCCAAGCTCCTCTTCACCATGGCATCCACAGTTGCCACTTTCTCAGTATCTTCAAATGGACCTTTTTCAGCAGTTCTCAATTCCACATACTAGAATTACCTGAGGAACCCTAAAGGTATCCTCTCTCCCCCTTCCGATTAATTTGATCAAGATGGAGCCAGGAGCGGACAACCCTGAGTGATCCCAAGCCTTTGAAGGATCAAAATCCTGAGGGCTGTCAACAAGCTCAGCCCCTAAGTTCCCATCTCGTTAGTGGCTGAGTAGGGCCAGAATTGGGGTATCCTGCCCCCATCCTTCTTCCTAGGCTTTCACAGGGCCCCCCCTTAGGTTCCACTCTGGAAGAGTATCCCGGGTATTTGTGCTTCTGTGAGGTTTGTGGTTCCAGGTTCCACAACAACATGGTGAGGGTGAGAGGGTCAGAGGACTTTATGAACGGTAAGATCAAATGCACAGAATTGTCTCCAAAGATTCCTGAAATCCTTTGATGAAGGGAGATTTTTGAACCCTTTGGTCAGGACCCTTTGGAACCATTAAGAGAGTTCGGGTGCAGTTTCCACTTTTCAGGAGAAAAGTGCATTTTAATCCTGTGGATTTGAAATAGTGTGACAAAAATTGCAATAAATTCTTTTTTGGGGTGAAAAAAAAGGAAATAGTGTGAATGTTTCAATACATTTGAATCATAGGATTGGTCTCGAACTCTCACCCTTGATGTGTGCAGGTCTTCAAGAAAGCAGAGGTCAGATGGAGTGTGGCTCCACATAGTTTGTAGAGCACTTAGCAATCCATCATCTCATTCGGACCCCAGAGAGCCTGGATTCTGGGGCCACACTCCATGGATTGGAATTCCAGCTCTGCCATACCTGCCTGTGTGACCTTGAACCAGTTGCTTAACCTCTCTGCCTTATTCACCTCATCTGTAAGGGTTGATAGTATCTACCTCCTAAGGTTGTTTCAAAATTAAATAAACTCCTTAAAATAGTGCCTGAAACTTACTAAGCTCTCTGAGTGTGAGCTAATGTGGCTATTAACAATCTTTTGAGATAAGTAGCTGCAGGACTGTGGTAATGGGATAATTCAGGATCTGAGAGGTCGAGCAGGTAGACAAGGATTACACAGGAGTTAGTAGTGGTGAAGACTGGGCTGACCCAAATGATAAGGAAGCGTCGTAGCATCTCATGCAGGAACTTGCAAACTAAGAAGTTAGAACTCTGGATGGGGGGAAGTTTGGGGCCCAGGAGAACTGCTGGTCAGCCTGGGCATTGGGCAGTAGGTTCCACCCCCTCCTTACGGTACAGCAGCCAATGCAGTAAGAACAGGGTGGGCTGAGTGGCCATGTGGTGATCCTTGTGTAGGCTGGGGTCGGAGCTCTGCACAGAGGTGTCCTGTGTCGCATGCATCTTTTTTCAGAGCTGAGATTATTTCCGTGCCTCCGTTTAGTTGCCCTTCCCACATCCCTGTGGACATAGTTACATTTTCTCCCTCTCTTTGGGGAAATTGAGGCTCAGAGCAGTGATGACACCCACAAGTTAAACACAGCCCTCCTGCTTCCAGTGCAGCATGTTCTGCCTGTTGTTGGAAAGGCTTGTCCGGAGAGGGGGTGGGGGTGGCGCAGCACAGCAGGAGCTATGGGCAAAGCCAGTCCAAAAGGGCACTGACAATGCTGCCTGAAAGTGCTCGGCAGTTGAACACCCAGTGGCAGGCTGATTTGGTCAGCAGTGCATGCAGGGGGCTGTGTCCACTGTGAGTGTTGGCTCTATCTACTGTGAGTTTTTTAAAATAAAGTTGAATATGTGGTACAGTTTACATTGAGTTCTTGACCTTTTCTGACCAACTTTGAAAAGGTTGGGAAATGCTGGCCTAGGGCACCTGTCTTCACTTCTCAAAAATTCCCCAGGTCCCTGAAGTAACCGGGGAGAGATAATTAAAAATTAGACTCTTGCCAATTACTCTCAGCAGATACAGAACTACTCAATAGTCCCAGAGCCTTGTGATTTACCATCAGATATTGCTTTCACGTAGAACTTGCTATGAATGTAACAAAAATATTGTTGAGATCATGGGGTTAGCGGTTATTTTCATTTAAAATGTTTAAAATTAATTTTAGAACAGTTTCTCAATTAGATAAGGGTTGTGTTCCATAATTGTGCAGTGCTGACTGGAATGGGCATAGCTTTCCTCATGAAGTGTTATGCTAGGGACCAGTTTCCACGTGAGCCCCCAGAAGCCTGTCTCAGTCTGTGCCAAGTTGTACCATAGATTTCACTTCCCTTGGGGAGGAGGTTTGAAAGTTCCAGTGTGAGGTGCCTTAAATACACATTCCCTGTCACCCACACTCCACAGTGAGATTCCTCAATATTAAACTTGCAGGCCCGTAGAAAGAGGCACCAGGTGAGGTTCAATGGATTCCTTTCCCATATCCTCATGGGTCCGATTGGGGTGAAGGTGGTGGCAGCTCAAGGTCTGGCAGGAGGGCTCCTAGGCAGGCTTTTCCTGGCTGACCCTAAAGAAGGGTCAAGGATCGGGGTGCCAAGGTAGATATGGGTATATGTTGCAAAATGCCAGATCTAGGCTGTGGTGATGGATGGAAGGTCCCATGGTGAGTCCCATGGGGTTTGTTGCTATCCTTTGTAGTCTCCCTGCTGAAAAGTAGAAACAGACTGACTTGCAGACTTCGCTGAGGCTGTGTGCTGTGTCATGCCTTTGGGCATTCATGCTAGTCGTCCCTTCCGTGTGTGGTTTGGGCTGGGGGGTGGCATCTCGTTTCTATCCTGAGCTGCTGTAATTGATTTTGGGACTTGGAGAAAGTTCCCATTAACTCTTGCCCTCAGTTTTCTCTTTCCTTTCAAGGGCCACATTTGAATTAGATTCCCACTCAAACATGCCATTGTCTGTGGCTTCTGTATAAATTCTCACAGTGACAAAAGTGATTGACATTTACTTTAATGTGAGATTTAAACATAATTAAGAGAGCATTCAGAACAACAGATTTTATCAATAAACGGAAGGAAAGCATGAGAATTCTCACCTGTTTATCATTAGTGTTTGTAAATTCCTAATATCAGTTTTAGAAAATGAACTTAAGTAGTTAAAAATTCGATTCAGAAGTCTAAAAATGTGGCAGAATTTCAGCTACTTAAATGAAGTCGTTCTTGGCCTCTGTCCAACAGCCTGCTGTCATTAAGAGCACAGCATGTAATGACTGTTTCCACACATCCTCCTGACCCTCAGGGGCTCTGTGGATTGCTCCATTGATGGCTGAGAAGAAAAAGCTAAAAATAGAGTTGATTTTTCATCGACTTTCATAATTTCAGCGCAACAGAGAGCAGTTTATTTAGCCAACATTGATTGACTGCCATGTGCAGTGTGCTGTGCTACAGATAACGGAGTGAGGAGTGACAGGTGAGGTTCCCTAAGTGACTTGGGCCAGGCCAGTGAGGTGCCTGAGAAGGTTGAAGTCCTGGTGGATATGGTCACCTTCAAGGGGAATGAGGAC